GATGCATTGATCGAGGTAATTTCAGGTATTACATATTGATGAGCTACTTGAAATTAACTAGGAGGTATGCGCGTATTGGGGAATGTGGCTTGCTGCTCTACTTTTTTAAAAAACTTCCCACGACATGTAATGAGTGTTTAGTATACATTATATGGGACGTACAGTGATAGATGGAAAGTTATTTCAGTATATTCGAAATGACTTTTAGGTAACTCCTTTTTCCTCCCACTTCATCAACATTCATTCATTTCATTTCATCTACATTATTTCAAGAAATGCATTCAGAAAATGAAGAAGAAAAAAAGAAACGAAAAAAATAGGTGTAAAGAAAATATTGTCGGCGAAGCATTTGTCGTAGTACTAGTAGCATTTGTAGTTTATGGGACACTTTTTGGGCGGAGCAAATGTCGTCGGAGCAAATGTCGGCGGAGCAATTGTCGCTTCAGGCGGAGCAATTGTCGGCGGAGCAATTGTCGGCGGAGCAAATGTCGGTGGAGCAAATGTCGGCGGAGCAAATGTCGGCGGAGCAATTGTCGCTTCAGGCGGAGCAATTGTCGGCGGAGCAATTGTCGGCGGAGCAAATGTCGGCGGAGCAAGTGTCGCTTCAGGCGGAGCAAATGTCGGCGGAGCAAATGTCGGCGGAGCAATTGTCGCGTTTTGCGGAGCAATTGACGGCGGAGCAATTGTCGGCGGAGCAATTGTCGGCGGAGCAATTGTCGGCGGAGCATCTGTCGGCGGAGCAATTGTCGGCGGAGCAACTGTCGGCGGAGCAACTGTCGGCGGAGCAACTGTCGGCGGAGCATTTGACGTCGGAGCAAATGTCGCGGAGCAAATGTCGCGGAGCAATTGTCGCGTTTTGCGGAGTAAATGTCGGCGGAGCAATCGTCGGCGGAGCATGTGTCGGGTTACCCCCCCATAACGATTCACTGTATCCACAAAAATAAATTCATGGACAAATTTGAAATCTAAATATCTTTAGGGAGCTAACACAAATATATTGAGGCTCAATAAGGAGCAAAGCATCGAGAATTGTACATTATAATTTTCTGACCCTTTAGAATGCTAGTGTTATACTGGCGCGTTAAATTACGAGATCCTGAAGCCCATGCGAGGAAGCAAAGCGAAGGAGCTTCAGCTAATTTTGTACCTTAAACCCTTCAAATCTCTATTTTTAATACAATTTACCCTACGTAATAGGAGCGCACAATCATACAAATGAAATCCAACCATGATAGCAGACTACCCTAGATACCCTAGATGAATAAAGACAATCAGACAAGTAGACTGGTGAAAGTTATACATTGATGAACTTAGTGTTGTAGTCACTATAGGAATGAACTCTTCCAATCGGCTGGATCAGAAACGTCTATATGTGATGTAGTGACGGACAAATTTTTCCATTTTTGCCAACACACAGACTAAAATGTCTATTTACAAGAACGTATGAAAAGGTTTTCTCTCTTTAGAGAACCTATAATAATATGCTAACCATAATATATTTTGAGTAGTGACCCAAGGGAGAAGGCACTTAGGAGAAAAACATATATCATTAATGATATTTTTGTACACGACCACCGGGAGAATTGTCCGCGACTACGTCACAGTCCACTGGCCAGACTGCCAATTTGAGATTCGCATAGTGATCTCATTTATTTTTTATAAAAACATTAATAGCTTTCTTATTATTGGTCCGATTCATTTTAAAGTTTTGCCATTATGTGTATCGTATGTTTATCGTATTTTTCTGCTTTCACCCAAATGAACTTGTTACAAGGGTTGGCTTGCCCTTGAAGGGCCATGACTTTTATTCCTTTTTTCCCCTTTCTTTTCCTCTCTTTTCGCATTTATTGCACCCCATTTCTTTATCGTTTTTGCGCCCCCTTCAACTAACCACCCAGGACACGCGCCCCTATCTCTACATAATACTGTTCATGCGCTTTCTATGTTACTACCCCGTGGTGAATAGGAATAGTTGGGAGGAAAAAAAATGAATTTCAAAATAAAGTAAATTGATTTTTAAAAACCTTAAATTTCGATTTGAAGCAAATGGTATTTTTCGCACGTCCCATTTTCATTCGTTGTTCCGTGAGTACCTCAAAAATCCTATCTATATTATATCCATATCGGTTTGGCCTCTACAAGCTTATGCAATGGAAATAGTTCAAATATTTGTATAAGTAAAGTAAAGTAAAATGTTTTTAAAAACTTTGAATTTTGATTTGAAGGCAAAAGGTATTTTGCATGTTTCCATGACAAAATATTTCAGACAATTTCTATATAGAGTAATTTTCATTCGTTTCTTGTGACTACTCGATAGATCCTCTCCATATCCATATCGGTTTGGGCTGTACAAGCTATTGCAATGGATATAGTTCAAATATAATTTTGTATAAAATATGATTTTTTTTTTTTTTTTTTTTTTTTTTTAAACCCTCGAATCTTGAATGTTGGGTATGTTAGAAAGAAAGAAAAAAAACAGCATTTTGTGCTTTCATTCAATTTCTTGTTAATAAATTACAAACATAAGAATCTTGAGTATATCAGAAAAATTATAACCCAAGCTCTTTTTGCTTTCAATCTATTTCTTGTTACTAAATTTCAAACATAAAAACTCTAAAAAAAGACAAGCTGGGTAAGAAGCCAGAGAGGATAGAAAAGAAAATAAGGAATCTGTTAAGAAAAGTAAAATATGACCATAGACCATGTAAAGCTTAATTTTGATTTTTTGGACAAGTAAATCAGTATGCATATCGTACGATAGGCTTCTTTTGATTTTCCCAGGCTTTGTTGAAATATCTGTATTAATGGAAGATAATTGAGAACATATACTAAATACCAAATATTGATTTCAGTGATTGACAGCCTATGTTTATGGGGCCTGTATCATTACACTGAAAAGAAGATTAAAAAAGCAAAATAATGATTTACTTACATGCTGAATTTGCAAGTGTATAAATCGATGTTGAGCAGATAGAAATAATTTTGTGTCCGCTTCTGTTCAAGCAACCAAAATGATATGAACTGTCCCATCAGATGCGCTGATATCACATCACAAAATTCCATAAAAAATACAATGGGGGAAATATGACAGATTTCACTGCATTGTTCGGTTGAGTAAGTATGTGATCGTTTTTTACGAGCATTGACAAAATCGTCACTGTTTACACGAAGTGACGGTAGAGCGCGCAACTAAAAGAATGATATGAACTGTCCCATCAGATGCGCTGATATCACATCACAAAATTCCATAAAAAATACAATGGGGGAAATATGAAAGATTTCACTGCATTGTTCGGTTGAGTAAGTAAGTATGTGACCGTTTTTTGCGAGCATTAAAAAAACAGTCCCTGTTTTTACGAAGTGACGGTAGAGCGCGCAACTAAAAGAAAGTTAGTTTTGAAATAATCGCTTTCAAAGTTTCAAACCATAATCTCAACCTCTTTAATGTATCAAAGGCAAATAAATTTTATATCCTGGGATAGAAAATATCTCAATGTTTAGTTCTATGTTTAAATATTTCCATAATTTCTTATATTTTTGGGGGAAATGAGCTGTAAACATTACCGTCACTTCGTGAAAACACGAAATTCAAGGACGCGCTGTGATTTTGTTTTCACGAAGTGACGGTACGTAGCCGCGCGCGTAAAACATATGGGATTTTCCTCTCGTGGATGGAATTCCCGAAATGGACACTAAATACGGCAAAACGTTTTGTTTAATTGATGTACTGATAAAATAATTCAAACTGTGAAAAAGAGTACATTTTTCTCTTTCTATAGCTGCTTTTTCATATCTCTGTGTGAACTGTTAACACAACCGTCATTTCGTGAAAACACAAATTGCATAGAACGCTTTGATTTTGTTTTCACGAAGTGACGGTACGTAGCCGCGCGCGTAAAACGTATGGGACTTTTCCCTTGTGGATGGAATTCTCGAAATGGACACTAAAAACGGCATTATGTTTTGTTTAATTGATGTACAGATAAAATAATGCGAACTGAGAGATAGAGTACATTTTCCTCGTTTGGTAACTATTTTTGTTATTGATAAGAATAAACTGAATGTCTCTGTATGAACTTTTAAATTAACCGTCATTTCGTGAAAAAACAAATCACATAGAACGCTTGTATTTTGTTTTCACGAAGTGACGGCTCGTAGCCGAGCGCGTATAAAACATATAGGATTTTTATTGTGTGAAGCAATTTCATGAGATAGACACTGAAATACGGCAAAATTACTTGTTTAATATATGTATGGATAAAATAAGAGCACCTTTTCTTCTTTGTATAATTATGATGTTAGATGTGTGATGTCAGTTTTTGTTCACGAAGCTACGGCTCACAATAAATTAACTATCAATAGCACAGGTGGATATTGGCACAAAGTGCTTTTAAAAAGATTAATAAGCTATTCTCTTTAATTTTAAGAAATGGATATGTATATAATATTCTTTGAGGTTTAATTATCAGGTACAGTGTATGTATAGGGACTAGAGATTGCACTAAAGTTACTATTTACTTTCCACTTAAGAACACGTTCAAGTAGTCCCCCCTCTCTCTTTCTCTCTCTCTTTACCCCCTCCATCTCCGCTTAATATCACACAAATTCTGCCATTTCTTGTTGAAATTCATGCGAGTGATATTAGGGCTTTTGCTACTCTATTACTATGAGGAATTTCTAAAATTTTAGAGAGGGGCCTAGCTAAATATATTTTTTTCAGATAGGAAATAAAGCAAATATGTTAAGAAATATTTTTGAATGAAGGAAAAAGATTCAGTATTGACCATAATCTGTAGTTAACTACTCAACTCTGCAATATAAACACGGAAAATGAATTTCGACTGAGCAGTTTTAATTCAAACATTTGGAACAAGAACAGCAAGTGGAAAATGAAGCATAAATTCAAAAATATTAAATAATTCATACCAAACATATATTATGATCATCAATTATCATCAATACTGTATTGCATTTTGAAATGTACATTAAGGGTTTTGTGGAAAAGACTCATCAGTTATACATCCACGGAATACAAAGGTTATTTCATTCATTATACAGTACTTGTAAATATGCTAAAATGTCTTTATCTAATTCTTTATATACGACTTGGTTATCATGTTTATTCAGCAATCGTAGCGAGTAAATGCCACATGTGACATACAAAATGCTCGACATACATGTACTACATGTATCATGAAGTTTTTCAATGGGAAAAATGACTAATATAATCATCATCGTTACTTTTTTGTTCATCACTGTTTTTCATAAATATCTGGTGAGTAGAGTATCAGAACCAAGTCAGTTTACACAATCTCTTTCTAGGGTATTTCAATAAAATTTAGTACACAGTCTCAAACGCTACAAAGTTTACCAATGCTTAAAGGTTGTCTTCACCCAGGTAAACACGTAATCTCTGACTAAACTATTATCAGCTAAACAATGCATGATAAACATGGAAATATCAATTTGAGTAAACAATTTCATTTCTCATCAAACAGATACAATTAAAAACAGCAACATTATATTGTATGATCATTATAGGATAGTTTGAAGTACCAAATACAATTATGATGAGAATGACTATAGAAGTAACAAATTAAAACATTAAATGTGAATTAGTAACATTGTGTTTTAAGAGAAAAACCAATTATGGAAATGTAACTTATATTCATGTTCTAATGAAGGCATCAACCCCTGTGAATACAAACATTTAAAGAAAATAGATAAACAAATTCTTCAATACAAAGATACGATATGAGGATTCATGGAACTGGAATAAAAAAAAAAACTCTAATATGCATTACTGATTGAGGTAGGTATACCTGATAAATAGCAGTTCTGAGCTTTACATTTAAATATTAAAGATTTATGTTTGCAGGAGTTCATTACAATACTGTAACAGAAAACTGACACCTGTACGACCATTCAGTTCATTGTTTCAGAACTCACGGAAAATGTTACCAGTTTGCTTTAAATCAATTCATTGATTTTATAATCAATCCATTTCATTGTGATTACTAGTACACACAATTACAATTATGAGTGGAGTTTGCTTTATTTATGATATTCAAAATGTTTAAAATCAAACAGTATAAAAGAGAGATTGAGGTATTGAAACATTAAAGCATTGCCAAAACGATCAATGTAATTGATTCTAGTTTCTCAAGCATGCCCTTCAACGCAAGTTCTTCATGTTTCTTCACACATATGTCATCCAAGCGATAGTGGTTGAAGCAGCAAAGATCCTTGATCTAAACTGCTTGATAGTAAAAGGAAATAAGAGAAAGAAAAATCATAATTAAAAAAGTCCAAGTCAAAATCAATAAAAAATCATCAGAATTTCAATTATGAAAGGGAAACTTTACAGTGCATTATGATTGGGCGAAATTATTATGTGTAGTTTTGGTACCCAATTTTAGAGAGTCTCTTAATAAATTAAATACTTATTGTGGTATCACCTTAGTATTGGAAATTTTTGTTAAGGATTTAAAAAAAATTAGATGCTGACCTCGATAGGACCACTCATTCCCTTAACTTAGAGACCTAAGCATTAAAAACAATTAAGAATATCTTAAATTTTAACTATTGGGAAACAATCAAGAAGGAAAAAAGATACCTTTTGACTCGCTCACAAGCATAGACATTGGGTCATCATCAGAATCGCAATCGGAGCCGTCAGGAGACTTTAAGGGTCACCATGCCAAGTCACACATGCAGCTCTGACTGTGATCGGTGAATTGCTTCAACAGTGTTCGGTGAATTGCTTCAACGGTTCCATACCGCTCCCACTCTTAGGTCACTAAGCCAAGTCACATCTGCAGCTCTGTGTTCAGTGAATTATCAAGGACCCATCTTACCAGCATGTTGGTCCCTGTATCCAATCTAATTTTGTAGAATGAAAGAAATAATTACAATTTTCTTTCATTTTTTTGCAAGCAGAGGTAAGGAAATGAACCCAATATAATGTTTTGTACATCAAATTAATTAATAGGCATAACTGACCCCAAACAAAAGTTTTCAATTGCCCCTATTACCCCAAAATAGAATTTTCCAATTGCCCCTTCCAAACAACAACCACCCCTATGCACATAAGCAGTGAGTGTGCTTTAGTACTTTGCTGCTAAAATGTGATTTTCTTGAACAGATCATGAAACTATTCTCACCTGGATTTGTGTCTGGCCTGTGGCATTCTTGAAAAGTAGATGTACTTTCCCAGTGCTTCCTTCATATAAGTGCGAATTGTATCTACTGCATCTGAAACTAAGCGAAAGCAAAAACATCATCATAATTTCATTACCACTGAAGTGTAGGTAGTGAGACATGTACATCATCTGGTATGGTGCTTGCTTGGAAAATTCTTTAAAACACGAAGTGGAGTTGGGCAACATTTGCTGGTATCAAGAACAATTGTTTAAAATAATTTTTGTATAGGGTGAGGGACCAAGGGTACTAAAGTAAAGTGCTGCCTTTGAATATAACAGACACAGAGTACAGATAATGAGAGAAACTAAGCTAAACATGTGGACATTGTTCCCCAAAAGGTAGACTACTCATGATTACTTCAGTCTCAAAAATAAAGTATTCCTTTTTCGGATGGTGCCATTTATTCATTTTCAGGGCAGAACCGTATCTAATTTTTAATTTTTAATTAAATGTTCATCCATGTCCTTCTTTGCTTGAAAGGCAAATCATTGAATTCCCTAACAGTTAACCAGGAGGGGCTACATCCCAGGTCATCTCAGCTCAGCATGATAATAATTTTCATAACTCCCTTTGCCCTTGGCCATGTTGATGTTGGCCTTGGGCTTGGAGCCCTGAAATTTCTTAAACCCCAGGCACGCGTGCCTTAATTACAAGAAAGGTCTCAGTCTTGTCTAGATCCTGATCTACTCACCTCTAGATTCTAGATTGATGAGTAGTGGCTGACATAAACTGATAATTATAAAATGAAGATCTAGAGTAACTAGAGTTCTAGACTCTAAATCAAATTTATTATTAGCTAAATAGTAAATTAGGCCTACTGAAAAAATAAAAGTAAAACTCTAGTCTCTAGACTACTCTCTAACTTTTTGTAAAACTTTGTTCAAATTTATAACTTAAGCAGATATAAAAAGAACCTTATAGCATTAAAATTTGGTATGGAGCAAAATAAGAAAGACTCTTCACTTAAGTTATTTAGTCTAGATGCATATTTGTTAAGTCTAAGTTGATCTTTTTAGTTTTGGATCACATGATACTTCACTCCTTTATTCACTTACATGAAAATAAGTATATGGGGCGATATGTGGAACGGCGGTGTATTTTTCACACATTTCTGTGCTCATGGACATATCTATGGCTTACAAAGAATCGGAATGAATCAAAAGAGCGTACCACATTAATTTACCTAAAAAAATGTTTAAAAACTCACCTTTTCATGGTCTGTGACTGTTCCAAACTGCGAAATTTTCACTCCCGTCACTTCGTGAAAATATTAAAAGCAGGAAAAGAGCAAACGATGTTTTCACGAATTGACGGCTGTTAAGCGCGTACTTGGCCGTCACTTCGTGAAAACAGAAAATCCTTTTGCTATGGATTTTCTTGTTTACGTCATCGTCATAGTGACATAATTAGACATTATTATATACCTCATTTTAAGATTCTTTACTAATCCTGTCTTCTGATTGGTTGAAAATGCAGTCATGTTCTTAACCATGCCCGCTAATTGAAATTCATAGTCATTTTTCCCGGCTCTACCGGTTTATATCCATTTTTCATAGCACTTTTTCCATGGCTGTGAAACGTGACATCATTTTGCTGCGATCCCCATTTTGGTTTTCGTGTTACCGTATAAGTTTCTTTTTGTGCGATGACCGATGCGCAATACCGTTAACGGTGTTTGAGTGCAATTCGATTTTGGTCGCTGCATTCAGGCGACGAATCTACCAATCCACGCAGCGCAAAACATACAAAACTGTGTTGTAAACATCTACAACAAGTAGACTAGACGCACAGTCTGTGTAAATATGTTGCGAATTTGTGAATTTATAAAGTTACTGTTCATGTTCTACTGTTCTACTGGAGCACATCTTGTTGGTGATATCATCCTGTACAAAAGTTACTGTTCGTGTAAACGTGTTTGGTATTCCCTGTTCTACTGGAGCACAGCTTGTTGAATTTCATACTGTACACAAGTTATTGTTGGTGTTAAGATGGAAACCTAAATGGGTGAGTCAACATTTTCCTTTTTTTCGGTATATAAAATATATATTGACTGCTTTTAATATTCGAGGCATAGTGGTTTCTATAGGGTCTCGGGAAACTCACAACCTGCTATGACCCCGCGGCGCAAGCGCGTTGGGGTCATAGCAGGTTGTGAGTTTCCCTTGACCCTATAGAAACCACTATGCCTCTCAAAGCAGTCAATATATCCTTATTATGATCTGAAATTTTGTGAGGTTCAAGATGTTAGTGAATGATGTCCAAAAATGCAAAAAAATCAAAAGTGAAAATATGTGCGAATGTCCACACTACAGTCACTTCGTGAAAACAGGAACGATATGACTTCTCACCTAAATCGTCTCAGAGTTTCTATTATCGAGTATATTGACTACGCGTTTTGTTATAATATAGTGCATTATATTTTTGTATACTTTTTCCAGGTTAGTATTAGAGTTAAACCACATGTCCTGTTCCATGAAGCTTGATACCACTAACAAATCCTAAAATAATATGACAAATTTGCTTTCATCTATTTAAATGTAACGATTTTAGAAGACAGTAAGAACTATTGTAACTTATTATTAATAAGTTTTATGAAACTGTCTTCCACCGCATAACTACATCTGCTGTATGATATAATCGATCCATAGATTTAAATCCAATCGGTCATTGCGCACAATATAACAAAGACATTGGAAATTGTCTAGTTTTTCATATTTTTCATATAAGGCTTAATTAGTATAATTTATAAATAGGAAGATAGATAAGAATTTGAATGTTGATCTATCTTCGGGACGTTTGATGAAATGATACTTATTTTTTTAGTAGAACTCGATTAAGAGAAGAAAAAAAAATCCAGATTTTTATCTCTCAATAAATACAGGAAAACTATCGTCTGCGAATCCACTCTCAAGGGTCTGTTAGTGAGAATACTGTGTGTAGGTGTCTTTCTGGCGTATGTATCGAGTATGGGAAGTCAAGCAGTATTTGTTATTGAATTATTGTATGACGACTCGAAGCCGATAGGGTTGCGCGTTCAAGTGACAAGGCGGCTGAGTGTCATTGATCTGGTCTTAGGACCTACGCGTTTTGTTAGATAATAGTGCACTATATATTTATGTACTTTTTCCAGGTTAGTATTAGAGTTAAACCGCATGCCCTGTTCCATAAAGCTTGATACCAATAACAAATGCTAAAATAATATGACCAATTTGCTCTCATCTATTAAAATGCAACGATTATAGTAGATTGTAAGAACTATTGTAACTTATTATTAATAAAAAGTTTATGAAACTGTCTTCCTGATTTATATCTCTCAATAAATACAGGAAAACTATCGTCTGCAAATCCACTCTCAAGGGTCTGTGAGTGAGAATACTATGTGTGGGTGTCTTTCTGGCGTATGTATTTCATTTTTGTTTGATGGCTTTTATTATTTATTTAACATGGTGATGATGACGCCCCTCGGATTGCAGTGAAGTAGCTTTTCTGGAAAATATCGTAGTACAATATTTAAAATAAGAAATGTACTGATTTTCTTCGAAAATTAAAAGGCAAATAATAAGCGAACAAGATACTTTTTTTTTGTTGATTTTTGATAAATAGAAAGAGAGTAATAATTTGGGCGATGAGTGTTACAGACAATATTGTTTTATAAATGGCTTTTAAAACAGGGATAAGGCAATCTTCGTGTATCTCTAACTTTATTTTATCTTTATTCTATCAGAATAAAGTCATCGTAGAAACTGACGATGAATGATATGAAAGTAGGCCTATGTATTCCAAAATCTAAAATGATTTGATAGGAAGTGATAGTGCTAAGTTTTTATTCTTTCACTGCCTATTTGGATTTATAACATCGGATCTATCAAGTGTCCTGCCTAATAACAAGAACAACAACAACTAAAAGCGCCCCAGTCTACAGGTATTTAGGGACTTTTAGATTCGCACGAAGACAATGGGGATTGCTACGATCAAGAAGTTACTAGCCAGTATTAAGTTGCTAGTAACTTCTTGCTACGATCGACGTCCTTTTAATGCACTGCCACACGTATCAGTCCACGCAAATCTAAAAGTCCCTAATCTCCGCAGGAGGAAATCTGGTTCAAACCGGTTCAAAGGGTCTTCCCCACATTGTGACGTCAAGTATACACACATTTGACATAGAAATCTCTATGATTGGACATAGCAAGATATGACGTTTCATCTTTTTCACCAATCATCGTCTTACAAAATCAACATGTGTACTAAACCAATAATCATATACCGCACCAGTATACTTCTAGCTAGCTGAGCATATCATTTCAACGCAGCACTTTGCCTGGAGTGGACGAGAGAAAGGGCTGTGTAGTGTTTGTACTTTCTGCATTTCTACTTCATACTCATTTGGAGATTTTTGTTTGTGCATGTTACGAAAGATTCTTGTTCTTGTAGGGCAGTGTCGCGTGGTGAGAGATAATGTGATTCGTTAATGTTGATCAATATTCTGTAGACAGTGGAGACCTAGGATCTATACTTTGTGTAGATCTATATCCATCTTGAGAACATGAGTAAACATACATCTAAGTTTACTATTATGTATTTGGATTGCCATGGAGTATTCAATAAGGATTCTCACTTGTGACATGATATAAAGTAAGTATATCATTTGATTTTAAAGACCGTCAACACTACTGGGCCAGAAGGGATTGGACCACACAGCGAGGTCACTGACAGGTGGCTATCTCATTAACTCAGCTCTCAACTAACATAAGAAAAAGAGGATCATGGGGGACCAACAGGCACCGATTGTGGAATTTTCTATATAGAGGGAGCAAGTAGCTACAAGCAGGACAGTGGGGCTTTAAATATCTTACAGGAAGTTCTGTCATCCAATAAAAGAAAACGGGAAATGTTTAACATAGGTATTTCAGGTTTACTTCAGCTCAATGCGTTTAAGTTAAGGGGACAGTGGTATCCGGAGAAAGAGAGAAAGGAGCAGGAGGAGGGAAGAGAAAGATAGTTGTAAAAAAACTAATTTGAATACAATACATGTAAAATATTTTGTTGTGAAGATTGAATCAATTTACTGCGTTCAATATGCTTCTTGTCATTGTGATTACAGACTATAATAGAGGCCTGAAATGAAATGCAGTCTCATCAAAATAATTTCATAGTATCGCTACCGAATATGTCTTTAAAACAAGAGTAGTGTATAAGGGTCTTATAAACAGCTTACAAAAAATAATGTTAGTTGAAATAGAAAACTGAGAAATATGAAAATAATGATATCAATTTTCTGTTATGTGATAAAATGTACATAATTTGTTGATGTCATGGGACAGGTTCGAATCCTGTGAGATTCCGGTCAAATCGATCACTAAGAATCTTCTTTGGTGTCCATACATCATCATTATTGTATTTTATCCAATCATTATAAATCATTTAGGCTCAAAATCTCTTGTGTCAATCGTAGCATGGGGACATCATGTATGTCTCTAACCTTCCATGTTATATCCTTGCAGCTCTACCATGGAACACTTTAAAAAACGCTCAAGACACATCTCTTCAATTTGGAAAACAAGCCATTCTGATGTACATGTGAATTTACTATTGGGTGGCTGAATTCTCGAAGTTTACTCTTGGAGTATACAGTGCGACCCAGATAACAACGAACCCCGAAAATAAATGATAACTAAGAGCTAAATATGTGTTTTTTCATAAAAATGACACCGCTCCCTCCCTTCCTCTCTCTCTCTCTCTCTCTCTGTCACTCTCTCCAGCCTTCACTATTTTTGTTATTACTTCAAAGGGGGGGGGGGGGGACAAATAATCTGTCATCACTTAACTTTTTGTGTGCATGCAAATTATACGGACTTTTAAAGATAAGCTTGAGTTCTGGTAATGATAGAAAATGTATAGGGGCTGAGTAATGAGGATAGAAAGATAAGGAAATCTATATAGGTAGGCCCAACAAGTGCGTAACACAGGTCATTATGTGCAAATGAGAGATGTGGTTTTTATTGAAGTTGATTTCCAGCAAGTTTTTGTGAGTTTATTTTTATTTTAATGGTTCAAACAATCAATCTGCTGCAGGATAAACAATCCAGAATGAATAATAGCCAAGTTCTCTCGACAAACGATTCCCATACCAGAACTCATGATTAGCTTTAACATTTTGAATAGCAATTTTTTCATATAATTATATTGCGTAGTAGAAGAATTTATGACATTATGACTGTTAACACAGAAGATCATAATAACATTATCATCTTGAGAGCATTACATTCTCTTTTATTTTAATCTCAATAGCTCCTGAATTAAATTTGACGTGCTATGGGCTTTAAAAAAACACTTCATATTTACCAGAGACAAGATACAAAGTTTACAATAAACATGTACAATTGAGAAACACGATACAAGTTAACCATGACAAAAGCAATAAGAGAAGGGTAAATCGAAAAAAAAAAAGAAAAAAAAAACGCATCATAGTTAGTAATGTGCGATCCCAGGTTCAAGAATTGCATGTGATAAACAATTCATTCTTCTGTGTAAACTGTATTTATAAAAGTCTGCTTCTGAATTAACACTAGCCCATTATCATCATCATTTTTAGTATATTTTTATACAATTATCATAATTGGTTTTATGATCATTTCCATTATTAGCTATCATGTATGCTACTATATAAATTCTATATAAACTGTTTATTTCATCGCAACCTAAAATGAATAAATGAATATAATGGGTGGTGTTTCGATAGCGCGTACTTAGTCCACACTTCTATGGAAAGCCTGTTGCAACTCATTTACCCAGTATAGATTGTTTTAATCCTGCAATGAAAAGTGCCAATAAAATTATTTTGCAATGAAATGGGAAGAAAAGGATTATATGATTATGAACTGAATTTCTATAAAGTCCTTCGTAGATTATCTTTGTCATGAATATTGAAAGAGGAAGATGAAATCTAGCATTCTATAGAAATGTGAACTAAAATTCTTGTTTAGTCTGGACTAAGTCCCGGCATAACTTATGAGAACACCACCCAATACGTAACTTATTGCAATGCTAAATAAAATAATGTACGCTTAATGTACGGAAGATTTAACTTTTTGTGCAGAGTGATTTACAATAATATTTCTATGCACACTGAATTAAACATGAAATTAGTCACACCTCAAATCAGGGGCGGCGGAGCGTCTTACAAAGTGAGGGCACCAACAAATAAGGGCACCTTAAAAAAAAAGGGGGGGGTACCCACAAGGGAAATCTCAAAGCAAAAATATTTTTAAAAATTAGCAGTGGTATATACCTATACATTGTGATTACATTATCACGGATGATTTCAATGTTTGTTTCTCTCTTTACATTGTCCAAGATACTGCTTAAGCATCACACTTTGCAGTTGGATGTGATGGTCTATATTGCGAGTGAGCGAGTAAGATTTTTTGATTACATCTTATAAAGAGGAAAAAACAATCCTGATGGGGTTTAAAGCACAATACATTAATGAAAGACTGAAAAGATCTTTAATAAGAAAGTTTATTGTATCAACTTTATATGCGAGCGAGCTTGGGGTAAAATTCAAGAAAAGGTTGCTCTTAGTCGCTTTAAATTTTATGGTGGAACGGGCATATGTTAGAAATATAAAGGGGCACTTATCTGAAGCAAAAGGGGGCATCTTTCCGATGTAAAAAGGGGCACTTTAGAGGAACTTAAAAAAATTGAAGGGGGTACTATTTGAACATGACAGTTAGCCAGGCACAGATCCACGCCCCCCCCCCCCCCCCTTCCCCCCCCCCCAAAAAAAGAGGGTAATCACCAATTTACCTTTTTTCTTTGATGGGGGTTTCGAGTGAAAAAAAAGTTTCCCGACTGAGCAAAAGTAAATGTATGGGGGCAAAAAAGATTTTAGTGATGACTCACCCCCCCCCCCCCCCCCTCCACTGAGCGAAATATCGGTCAGCGTGATTTTCACATTTCAGCCCCCTCCCCCTATTGGAAAATCCTGGATCCGCCCCTTTGGTTAGCTGCAGCACATCACTCCTCTGGCATGCAGGGTGCAAAGATAGAGAGAGATCGACGAGGTCTGACGCTTACTGCGCATGTACAGGTTGTACAATGCACTTCTCTCCGATCCAAGCCTTCATCAGATCGCAGTGATCCCTAAAACAAAAAGTGAAAAGAAACAAAAATGAGGTAAATAAAATAAAAATTCATACGAGTCATTTCGTTTTAATATTTTCCTCTTTTGATAAATTGAATCGCTATCAATTGTTGTGTTGATAGATAGGATAGGCTAATCTTATCCTGAAGCCTTTGGGCCTCAAAGACTAGCTTTAAACATCCCTGAACAAAATATCAACAACCAACCAACACCATCAGCTTTTTCACATGAACGATTCTCGCAAACTTCTAAATGTTAAAAATGAAGCACTGCTTACAATTTCTGTCATTTCCTCATCAGGTCTGTCCGACCCCACATCGCTGTTTCCATCATGATGATCCGTAGTCTGCACACCCATTGGCAGCTCTGATGTATCTACTTCCTTCAGTATTGATAGAGAAAATGATTAAATGTTGGTAGGTCCATGATATAACCCAGACCTTCATTTAGTTATTAACTGACACCTACGGTAAGACAGACAACCTTTTTGTCAAAGAGTTAGATGGTCTGAAATAACGTCGAGGGGTCAACGCTTATGGGTAAAATTGTATAACTCAATCTGCGGCTATTTCGGGACAGGTTCAACACTAAAACATACGACGTGCACATTATCATCGAGATCGATGCATCATTATCATTAGATCATTACATTATGTCTCCACTAATCGAATGACTAAAACAATTAGCAGAAGCAACAATCCTTTCAGATCATTGGATGCAAATAAATGTATAATACTTGTCTGCCTCGGTATAAATTTCACAAAATAATGATTATTAATTTAATAACAATTCATGACTATATAATTAGCTGACTCCTAGAATGATTATGCTCCTTTACTTTTAATCTAGTATTATTGCATAAAGTTATTTTCGAGTGTTTACATTCATTCGAGAAACCTATTCTCCAGTCATCTTACCTTAACATCCACCACGATCTTTGTCTGTCTCCCTTGGTGATCTGTAACCAACACCGAGGATTGTATTGGTGGATTGAACGTGAACTCTATGTGAAAACTTGGACCACTCACTGATAGCTGCCAAACATAACAGAATTACGAACAAAATTAGATAGCTTCTTCCCCCCTCCATAATATGAAAACCTTTCAATGGCAATAAGATACCCCCCCCCCCAATTGTTTACAAGAAAGTAGGGAGGTTTTCAAAGTATATTTTTCCAAAACGATTCCCTCCAAGTGCTGGCGAACCCACCCCCATAACTCAACGGGAGTGCTGAGAGGATTCCCAAATATTCCCGAATAAAAAAATTGCTTCTCCCCCCCCCCCCCACCTAATTCCAACCCTCGGAGGCTTGCCCACAGTGAGTCTCGAAGGACTAAAGGCTAATGATAATGCTGGAAGCTGGTAGGATTATTTCACCTTCCCGCTCTCCAATCCTTCGCATTTTGACAGCCCTCATTTCTTACCTTGTATCTCCCTTGATTGTCGCTTCTGTCACTGTGACGGGATGAATTGTCTCTCCCTTGATGTTGGTAGGTTGCCATTGTAACTATGGCTGCAATATAGAACATAATTGTTTAATCAATTATTATGTGGGAGCAGATTTCATCAATAAGAAAAAATAATAACTAGAGGCGATTTATAAAAAAAAATGTATATTTTTTAACCAATTTAAAATTCAGAACTTAGGCTGAAGCGGCGGAGCGTTATAAAAAGAGAGAAGGAGCACTAACCGAATGTTCTAAAGCACCTGTCAAGAGTGAATACAAACAAATTTAATGCTTTCTTCACAATCAGTGCAATTACCTGGTTTGGTAATCTTACACTTCCTGTGTAGTTAAATACCTGAAGAGGTTCATCTGGTGGTGATGTAACTTGAAATTTTTTTTTTTTTTTTCATAATTTGTGGAAAACTTCCTTTTTTTAATAAGCTTTCAAGTTGCTGTGCTTTCAAGTCGCTGTTGGTGATGTAGTTCGACGAGGTATTAGAATGGGATCGTACGTTGAAAAAAGAGAGGAATATTATCCTTTATTATTATTTTAATCTCTGTTTAGTATGTGAGTACATGTATGACTTTGTCACTTTCTGAAAGTTTCGTTCTATCATATCATCCTGATGCATAAGTAACAGCGCCAGCTACGACAGAGTTTTGAAGAAGCTAGCAGCACAGCAACTGAAAGCTTATCATAAAAATGAAAGTTTTTACTGATTATGAAGAAGGAAAAAAAATTCAAGTTACATCACCACCAGATAAATTTCTTGAGTTATTTAGATACAAAACTTCAGAAAACATCTGTCATCACATCTCTCCATTTTGATTTGACACGCTTCGGTAGTTTAGATAGGCAAATTTCATGAAAAGTATATATTTTCTGGAAGGGGCACTTGATAGCGTTGACAAGGAAAAAGAGTATGCTTTGAAAAGGTGCACTCTTGATGCTTGTGGGGGCTTTTGGACTTTCCTACCCTAGACCCCATTGGTTTACAATGTGATGAATAAAACAGAGGAGCATGTTACTTTTGAAAGCTGCTCCAATACCTAAGAGATATTATTTTTAGGACTTTAATAGGGTTCGATAATAATCATGTAGGCCTAATTTGGACAGTAAGTTTGTAAAAACCACAGAGCACTGTGTCCCCTCGCCAAATGCTCCAGGGGTGCCCCCTCTCGCGTAGTCCTATTTGTGATGGAAATGTTTTATCTCAACATTTTCAACCCAAAATACGTCATAAACGTGAGTGATTAAGGGATGATAATTCTCTTAATGCAGATGAGTAGACATCGTCATTTTTGATAGTCATATTAGGGATCGATTCTTTGGATTTTACATCTCTCCCAAGTAGTGATTAAATACCCGTTATGAGAGTGCATAATTTTCAGCGGATTTTCACTCAAAATGGAGTTATCCCAATCTGACTCCCCAAAAGAGAATTTTAAGGATTATAACCCAATTTGAAATGTCCAAGATTCCAATGGCTTGTGATGATATTATCGTCAACATAATATTTCCTTTTTATATTTCCGTTGACACTTGAACTGTATTGTCACATTTCCTTTGTCTCTTTTTGCTTTGTGTTAACTCAGAAGACCAAAGTCCAATTTCACGAGAATACAAGCTACAGCGCCACGTATATTACATTATTATGGCAAGGTTACGATGCGTTGCGACTAGTTGATTTTCATAAAGCTACATATAACTTTCTTCATTCCTTATCCAACATAAACTGCAGACATTTTATTGGAATACACAACTGAAAGGTAGTGCATTTTTGTTTATATCTTGAGTGTTATACATGTAGAATAATTTTTCAATTCAGAATCAGTTCTGCGTCACAGCTATGTGCAGTAGATAATTTGCTATTTCATGATCATGGAGATAGTATCAGTGGCTTTCTGTATTGCACGTACAATACTGTAACGAAATTATGAGACTGGGAGTTGTCTTACTTTGTCTTGGAGCGTAGAGTAATAGGCCACGGGTAATTATCCGCCTGTAAGTGTTCACGATGACCCCCCCCCCCAAACAAACAAAAATCAATTCACTCTATCAACAAAAGTAAATTCATGGACAAATTGGAGCTCTAAAATATACGGTGAGCTACCCACCCCCCCCCCCCCCCCCTGCGCTTGTAGGTTTATGCATATGACCGCAACAAAGCTGTTGGTTCACAAATGATTTACTATTCACTTGTCTTCTTCTTCGTCTTCATCTGTGGTCCAGAATTAACGAACTATCTGGAGGAATATAGTCAAAATAAGAATTTAGCAAGGTAACAGACTGTGAAGATTTTTTATGCTGAATCTTCCCAAATGCCTTTCTTTTTTTACACTGCAGTACATTGAGGTGCAATAAGGAGCAAAGCAACTAATATTACATGCGAAGAAGCTTTAGGAAATGTTCGCATCTTTAACCCTCAAAAACTCTATCTTGAGTATTATAGCATAATTTTTTCAATCCGGAATCAGTTCTGCGTCACTGCTATGTGTAGTAGATAACTAGCTATTTACAAGATCATGAAGATAGTATTTCTTTTTTCACAAGTACCATACTGTTACGAATTTATAAGACTGTAATACGAAGTAAGGAGGAGTGATTTCGTGGAGGATACTCAGATTGAAGATAATATCACTGCCCCCCCCCCCCTCCCCCAGAAAATCGGACTATCACCCGGCCGACTTTCCCTAGGACAAGTAACCCCTAGGACAATAAACTCCCCGATAACTATCCTATAGGACAACGATTATTAAAGAACAAAAAATATATAAAAACGGACAGAATCTGTACTAGGGGTGGAATTTGAATAGGTGATAGTTTTCGTCCGGGGTAAGCTCTCCGGCTGGAATATTATTGTCCTCAGAGGCTCAGGGTTTTTTCAGAGGTGACTTTTCTGGGAGCTTATGCCTGTGAGTAAAAGTCCAGAGGTAAACTTGTCCGGCCCTTGTTGTTCAAGACGACCTTCCCCCATAACGATTCACTGTATCCACAAAAATAAATTCATGGAAAATTAGAAATCTAAATTTCTTTAGGGAGCTAACACAAATATATTGAGGCTCAATAAGGAGCAAAGCAACGAGGATAGTTCATTTTCTGACCCTTTAGAATGCTATTTATAAGCTGTAATTTTATATTGGCACGTGAAATTATGAGATCCTGAGGCACATGCAAACAAATCGAAGGAGCTTTAGAAAACTTCACATCTTAAACCCTTAAAACCTATTTCTAATAGTATACAATTTACCCTGCGTATAGGAGCGCACAATCCTTAAAAGGAAATCCAACCATGATAGCAGACTACCCTAGATACCCTAGATGAATAAAGACAATCAGAAGAGTAGACTGGTGAAAGTTATGAAAGTTGTAGTCACTATATAGGAATGGGCTCTTCCAATTGGCTGAATCGGCAATGTCTCTGTGAAAAACAAATTTTCCATTTGTGCCAACACACAAAGTAACTAAAATGTCAATTTTTCAAGAACGTATGACTCCGGAGGGTCTTGTCTCAAAAGGACCTATAATAATATGCTAACCATGATAAATTTTGAGTAGTGACCCAAGGGAGAAGGCACTAAGAAAAAAAACATAAATTAGTGATATTTTTGTACACGACAAAAGTGAGAGTTGTCCGCGACTACGTCACAATCCACCTGCCAAACTGCCAGTTTGAGATTCGCATATAGAATTAGTGATCTCAGTTTTAAAACATTCATAGCTTTCTTATTATTGGTCCGATTCATTTCAAACTTTCGCCATTATGGTTATCTTCTTTTGACTTGTTATAAGGGTTGGATTTCCTTTATTATTGGTCCGATTCATGACTTTTATTCCTTTTCTCCCCTTTCTCTTCTTTTCACCCCCTTTTTTTCTTCGTTTTTGCGCCCCCTTCAACTGCCACCCGGAAGCATTATTTTTTTCGGCGGCACAGATTGGGGTTAGGTGCGTGTTGAGCCTATAGGAAAGTTTAGGGTTAGGGTTAGGGTTAAATCAAGACCTCTTTTTAAAAAAAAATCCCCAATCTGTGCCGCAGAAAAAATTGACACCACCCGGAACACGTGCCCCCATATTATTATCTGTAATGGATATACGCTTTTCCTTGTAATACCACGTAATGATTTGGAATATTTATAAACAAAAGCGAATTTCAAAATAAATCTAATTGATTTAAAAAAATTGACACATCGATTTGAAGGCAAAAGGTTTTTAGCATGCGCACGTATCTATGAAAATATTTCAGACAATTTTCTAATGCAATTTTTATTCGTTTTTAGTGACTCCTTGATGAATATATCTATATCCATTTCGGTTTGGGCTGTAGAAGCTAATACAAAGGATATAGCTAAAATGATTGTACAAAATATGATTTTAAAAAACCCGGATTCTTGAATCTTGAAAATATTAGAAAAAAAACACAATCCCAGCTTCTTGGGGTTTCATTCTATTTCTTGTAAATAGATTACAAACATAAAAAACTCTAAAATATTTCCAATTTGAAAGACTCAGAAAAAAGAGAAATGAGAAGGGATAAGCTGTGGAAGAAGCCAGAGATAATAGAAAAGAAGAGAAGGAATAATAATAATAATAATAATAATAATAATTGATTCTTATTGAGCGCTACTATACAGACAAACTGATCAGAGCGCTATACAACAGAAAAGAAACATACAAATCATAACAATTAAACAAGGAACAGTAATTAAGAATCCGTTAAGAATCCGTTAAGAAAATGAAAACAAGACCTTAGACCATGCAAAGCTTTTTCTTTCTTTTTTTTTGTAAAATGAATTTATTGATAAATATATGCTTTTGAACAAATCAAACAATCATACACAATCGATAGAAATAACATCGTAGCATCTTCACATAGTTCAAATAAAACATGTTTCGTTTTCTTGAATAACAGTGTTTTCAAAAATGCATAGCTTTTTTTGTTTTACAGTACTTTTCGATCTTTAATCGGTTGTGGATTAATCTTTTGAAAATACAAAGAATAGAGACTTCATGAAACATGAGTTTGCATAAATGTTAAATAAACTGCGTATTTTGCATTATGATA